GCCTTTCCCACTCCCAGTGACTCCAACTATAGAAAAAGAATCATGTGAGTATAAGGAAACAGACAAACAAGATTGCGGAACGACACCCACCTCGACCAAGAGGGTTGTCGGGTGTTTTGAAGATACTGGTCCCGGCAACGCCTGCGATGTGCACCCCCTTCTTTTCTGACTTCTTCGCAAACTTTTGCCACGTCGCCTGTTTTTGGGTCTGCTCTTTCGCTTTGGCTGCCTTTGCCTCCAGCTTCTTCTCATTCTTCTTCTTCTTTCGCTCCCGCTCCTCCTCCTCCTGCTTGCTCAGCTTGCGTTTGTTCGATACCGGTGCATTGTAGGTGAAGTTTGGGGGGAGTGCTCTGACTTCGGATGCTTTCACCTGCTCTGTCGTGTTGTAACCCTTGAATACAATGCTGTAAACACGGTTGTCTGCAGAGCCCCCTACTGATGTTATCCTCGCCGGGTACCAACCCCCATCTGCTGAATATTTGGCCTGACACTCATCGCCGGCAGTCCAAGTCTGCACTGGAGTAGCTGAGGAAGACTTTCGCGAAGACTCGACTTTCGATGATGATGCTAGCTCAGCCTGAGCGATTGCGGTCTGCGTAAGTCCAATAAGCTCCTTCAGCTCTGAACGTAGTGCTTCGAGCTCTGCATTATCCGGGTCGGTAGAGAGTGCGACCTCGACTTGAGATAGCTGGACTTGATATGTCTCTAGATCTGTTTTGTCCATCGTCGAGGAGGAATGTAGTGAGAAGTGGATGACAAGGAGTCTTTGTTTGGCTGTCAGAGGTGTGGCAAATATACAGAGCATAGTAAATCCAAAAAAGGGAATCTAAGTGAACGGCTAACGAGACAGTCAACCAGAAGGCCTTCAATCCCAAACACCGCTCCCATCCATCTTCACCCGAGTATCCTGTTTCGCCTTGCTACCCTGCGGTCGTCCCGCCTTCCGAGCTCCGCGTTTTGAGTGATACTTCCTCTGCTGCTGCGCGCGACTCTTCGATAGATTCGAGGAAACAATATTTCTAACATTGTTTAGACTGAGAGCCTCTGTCATCTTGGCAAGAGAATCGGGGGAGACAGGTCTGGACTGAGGGGGTGATCTTGATAGTGCCCGAGTCTCTGAGATGTCCGAGACGTCTGATGGATAGTCCTCTGTCCGTCCTAGCGATTTTGCTTGGTGAGGCTCATCGTCCATTGCGACATCGCGATCCTGAAGTTTGTCAACATCTATCGCGATGTTTGTTAGACCTGTTCTTGTTACATCTTCCTCAGCCTTGGGATCTTTAGCTTCAAGTTCGTCTTTCCGGTCTTGCCCTTCATCTCCTCCGTGCCCTGCCTTCTCCTCTTCTTCCTCTTCATCGCCTCCATTGTCGCCTCCCTCTTCGTCATCTTCCTCTTCCTCCTCTTCCTCCTCCTCATCTGCTTCTTCTTCATTAACAGCCGCCATGTACTAATGAACGATCAGCATAGCACTCTTCATGCAACAAACCGTACGAACCTCTTCCAAAACCTTCATGTCTTTGTTGCCGAACCCACTAGCTGCGACAACGACATCCAGCCTGAAAGTTGATTCAGAGGAATCCTCTGTTGCTATCGTTTTAAACCGGGGATACAAGGAGCTCTCATATCGAAAACGCCGCCTGAAGAATGTACGGATGCATTCAACGTCGCGATTAAAATACCTGGGAGATGAGATTAGCGAGAACTCGATAACGAAAGGAATAGATAGTGACCATTCTGCATTCACATGTGATGTGCTGACCATCTGAGGGAAATCGATGACGACAGGCTCCCCAGTGTCTCGCCGTATCAGAATGTTGAACTCATTAAAGTCTCCATGAATCAACCCGGCGCGAGCAAATCGCACGATGATGTCCATCAAGGTTGAATAAAGCTTTCCTGGTGATGCAACCTCTGATATTTGTCGCCTTTAGAGCAGATTAATAAACATTGTAGCGTGCGTTGATTGAGAAACCTCACAAGGGATATGCATCAATGAATTCCATCAGAATACAGTGTCGTGCTTGATCGATAGGTCTTGGAACAGGAAAATCGTGTTCGTGAAGGACCTGAGATGGTATTGGTTACAGAAGACATTTTATGATGAATACTTACCTGCATGAAAGCCCATTCTTTTTGAGCAGCTAAGCGGGACATGTACATCCACGACGCTGATTTCCTCTTTCCGAGATAATCCCGCTTGTCCTTTATTGCGCGAAAGGATATTCGGCCAAGTCTGTCCAGCTACCATGAGGCAAGTTGAGGCGCGCCACAGAGGGTTCTCACCGATGTAACTTCAATACCATTTCCTTGCCTTCCGAATCCGCGACTATGTAGATATCTATGCAGACAAGTGAGGAATTGGCCTGGCGGTGCATCTTGGTTAGGCTCACCGGATTCCTTCCCGACACCAATCTGATTTCCTACAGAGTGCATGGAGTCTCTCTTTGACATCGCGCGCATAGCAAGGTAATCGTAACCACCATACGTCAACCTGTATCCATCGTCTATTTGCAAGATATTGTTATTCAACGAGATGGACGAGATGGATCGTGGAAGTAGAATTACATTTTGAATTTTGAACCTTTGCGACTAGGTTGCGTTTCGCAAGGGAGCCGATGAGTTTATTGACACCACCACCCCGTAGACCGGATATCTGAGCAATAAGATTCGTGGGGACCACTTCATGGTTTTTCGAACCCATCTCAACCTGACAATGGAGCCTTGAGTGGCGGAGATGCATAGCGAGCAGGGTACATACTGCTGTTAGAACCCTGAATTCCTCCGGTGTCACATACCGGAGATCGGTAGCGTCCAATTTCATCTTTGAGAGTACCGAATATTCAGACGAGGGGACGATAAAAGGCAGTTGACGTTTAACAAATTTCTACCCAGACAGTGGAAAGAGAAAATAAGCACATTACGTCATGCGGGTCATGGTCGAAGTCGAGGCGGAAGATGCCGATTCAAGCTTTGTCCTCCCATCCATCGCAATTTGTGGACGATATGTTAGCCGACGGTTCGAAGCGTGTTCGTGACGCCAACAAGGTAAGGGGATTATTTGCTAAATGCCCGCTTTCCTGAGCATCCTGTCAAGGCATCAGCGGCAGAGTTGTCGAAAGCTCTCAGCATATCCGATCCTACGTATGTCCTAGTATGCGATCGTGGGCACACTCGCGCAATATAAATGCCCTTTCGACATAGCTTCGAAGTATTGACCTCCAGTGAACTATCCAAGCAACTCCGTGAGGATATATTTGCGATGCTGGAAACCAATATGCGCGACTTGTGCGTTACAGCCATGTATAGCGCTGAGTATTCCACTGAAGACTACGCTAGGTATGCGCGATCTTCTTTTGGTTGGGATCCTACCGACAAGCGAAAAGAAATGTTCGATTCTCTGTCACGGTTTGTCGTAGCTCGGAGGCCGGACACACAGGCGTTATCAGGGTACAGTATCTTCAGGTTCGAACATGAAAACGACTCGGACATGCTCTACTGGTCGGCTTTCAATCTTCATCATTAGGGAATTTTGTTTACCAGGTTCTATATAGTTATGAACTCCAGGTATCAACCGTATCTCGGCGCAGTGGGCTTGGACGTAAATTGATGGATCTCCTGGACTCCATCGGTGAAATTTGGCGCATGCAGAAGATCATGCTCACCGTCTTTGAAGGTATGAGGGCCGATTCACCTAGGGTTTCTAACTAATATTGTACGTTTAGCAAATGACATTGCACTTGCGTTCTATTTTGCATTGGGGTAGCGTTATATCTTTTGATTAACGGCGTACAGTCCCTGACATCAACCACAGCTTTGTCGTGGATGAAACATCGCCGGACACTGATGATGATGCCGACTATAAAATACTTTCGATGCAGCTTGGCAAACGCTGAGTGCTTTGTGGTGCTAGAGAAGCTATGCTAGCTGAGTCTACATTGACGTTGATGCGGAATAGACCACTATCATATCGCACCTGTGCTGCTTCTAGCATGTGTTTAATCGGATGCTTGACTGCACCTCTATTGGGGTAGCAAGTCGTTTAGCTTGAACGTCCCTTCGAAACAGATGCCTTTACGCCATTCTGGGAGTCATTTCTCAACAGACGGGTGCGATCACCGATCGGAAAGGCTGAACTGTACAATATTGCCATTGGCAACAGTCGTCCAGCGAGCAGCGAGCACTCAGAATTTCGTAAATTAAAGATGCAATCGAAAAACACTGGGAATAGGCTGCAGTGAAACACCAACTGTTATTTGGATTTTAAGTGTTTGCACAGTTTCAGTGCAAGGTTGATCCGAGTATTGAAAAAGAGCAACTTCGTCGTGGACGAAACATCATCGAATAGTATATGATGTCGACTATAAAATACTTTCAATGCAGTTTCGTAAGTGCTGAACGCTTTCATGGTACGAGAAACGAGGCTAGCTGAGGAGCGCACGTCGGTGTTGAATAGATGCGCGCTATTTTTACGCTGTGTCTAGTAGTAGCGTGCGAATACGATCATCTTTCATGAGAACGAGGTGGGGGTGAGCCTCACCTAGTTCAATATTTCATACTGCCCTGCACAGAGAAGATAATCAGAGCCATCAGATTACAGGATAACGCAAGCGAGAATACTGATAAATTTTTTTGTGGCTGCTATTCATTGAGGAGAGTGGGACTTCGACATTATCAGAGAGTTTGGAATGGAAATACTTTGCTTCCGGATAGCGGTAGTCACCGACCGGACAACTGTGAAATGCATAAAATATAGCCATTAAGAACTTGTAATGTTTCTTCGACTCGGAGGTCCACTGAACAGCGAGGTGGAGTGACGTCGATTACTGCGAGCTGGACATTTCAACTGATCATAGATTCAATAATCGATTTATTAGTAGAAGTAGGAACTTGGAAGTATTACAGTAGTGGTAGGTAGCCACTTCGGAATCCGACTCCAAGGTATCTACTATTTAGTGTCCACTGTCCACACAGGAAAATAAAAAAGGTATGGAAAAAAAAAACGCTGAGAGCAGGATTTGAACCTACGCGGTGAAACACCAAGTGATAATTCGGTGCTTACGTAACATACTGATTATATAAGCAGTGTTCAAATCACTCGCCTTAACGACTCGGCCATCCCAGCTTAGAAGGCAATTGGATTGTTGCATATACATAGCCTCTATCTTGGAACGATTGAAATCCTCGTCTACACTTCTTGATCACCATCTCCTCAAGCGTCAAGCAATGGACTCGCTCATACCCTTCACAACGTCCGGCGCGCTGGTGGACTGCGTGGACAGTACGTCGCGCACCGCCATGGCTTACACTGTTCAAAAATAACGTTCCTTTCTGATTTCTCGCGTCCGTGTTGCTTGTAGGGAAGATGCTCGTCATACTCAGAGACGGGCGTAAACTGCAAGGCGTCTTGAGGTCCTATGACCAGTTTGGTGCGTCTTTTCTCCTTCATATGCCTGTTTCTGTTTACCAACCCTGTTGTGTCCTGCGCAGCAAATTTGGTTCTTGAAGACACTGTTGAACGAATATACCACGGGAATGCTTTCGCAGAGTTTCCGCGCGGTCTATTTCTCATACGAGGCGAAAATGTAGTGCTACTGGGTGAAATTGTATGTATCGTGGCTGTGACCAGACCATGGCTTAACAGATCTATAGGATTTGGACAAGGAGGATGAAATCCCCCTTCGGCAAGTCGACTATGCAACGCTGGAACCGTATCATCAGAACGACATCGAGGCAAAAAAGCGGAGGGAAGAACACAAGGCGCAGATTCTGTTCGAGGAGAAGGGGTTCTGCAAAGAAGGAGGGGAAGGCGATGGATACTAAATTTTTCCAACGGTATCATCTGCTCGACGTCATCTCTACATTACTGATGACCTCTCTACATTGTGTTTCATATTGTACTATTGACATTGACTATCGTGGTTGACTATACATGCAAGTAACAAAGCAGACGATGGGCTACAAAAGAGTAATAAAAATACAAGGTAAGTATCGGACAGGTGGGAAAGTCATGGCAGAAAAACTATTATCGTTTCTTCCTCTTCAGTGTCTTCTTGTCATCCCCGTTCACCTTCACCTTCCCCTTGACGTTCTTGACCCCGTTGCCATTGACATTGATGACCTTGCCATTGCTCTTCAAGGGCCCAGGCTTGGCGTCTCTGTCAATATCTGTGCTCTCGGCGCCGACGAGATCCTCCATCTGTTTGCGTATTTCTCGCTCTTTGGTCGTGAGTTTCATGATGGCTTCTTCGCCTTTTGTCTTCTCGTTATTGATGTCGTCTTGGCGAATGGACTGCCAACTACGATGTCGCTCGCAATCCTTGGGACCAGGACACCACCATTCGGCATCAGTATCGTCGGCGTCAGCAGCATAGCTTTCCTCCACACCATCGCCCCACTCCTCCCACTCTTCCTCGCCGAAGCAGAGCCGTTGATCCCATCCACAGATATCGCCCCCTGCTTCAGCCCGCTGGCACGCCAACTCCCACACCCGTTCTCGCCAGAGAACACACTCCATCGCACGTCGCAACCCTGCTCGTGCTTTACCAACGGCTTCCAGGGGCCCAGCCAAGCGTTCGATCTCCCGCTCCGCCTTGGTCGAGCTCTTCATCACGGCGCCAGTCTGACAGTGAACCACGACCCCTTCTCGTCGCTCTGCATCTTTCACTTTGGACCATAGCACCTCTCGACTACCGCCTTTCGCCGTATACACGTCGATCCTTCGTTGCATGTACTTGACGCCGCACTCGGGCGAGCAATACTTGCTCAAGGCACCTTTTGATGGTCGATGGCATGCCTCAGTAGAAGAAGGGTCAGGATCATCAAGACCATTAAGACACCTGGTTTTGTATGTCGTTTTCAGGTTCAGTTGAGGATTTTCTGAGTCATGACAAATCAGTTATAAGTAAGAACTCAAAGTCGGAAGATCACGCACTCTGAATACAGGGTGGACATATGAACTGGTCTACCAGATCCACTTCCAGTTCCGACATATTCACGCATTGCGTATGATACCAGTCGTCACACCTATCGCAGCCAATCATACACCGGCCTTCATCGTACTTGCGTTTGCACACGCAGTAGAGTTTGTCGTCCTCCACCTCCTTCTCCTTCTCTTCAGGCTTCTCATCCTGTCCCTCCTCCTGCGCATCGCCAGGCTTGACACTGGTCGATCGCGATCTCGAAGCCGAGATTGACGCTGCTTTGCCCTTCAGAGGCACCGACGCCTCCTTTTTCCCTTTCGGGCCAGGTTTCGCAGTAGGTTTGACCGCAGGCTTCACGACCTTTGGCTTAGGACCGGGTTTCTTCTTCGGCTTGACCGTCGTTGTCGCAGGGGGCGGCATCGACTCCCTGTCGCGCTCCTCGGAAGCCTTCTTTTTCATGCTGGCCTTTCTGACAGGTGGAACAGGTGGCAGCACGAGTTTCTCCTTCACAGGCTCATCCTGCACCAGACTCAGCAGTTCGTCTTCCACGTCAACCTCCATCCGGTCGGCTTCCTCTTCATTCGCATCAGGTATCGGCGTGCCAACATCTGCCAGCTCCCTCTCCAGCTCTTTGGTAAGATCATCTTCAGGCGATGAGGAATTGTTCGGTTTCTTCTTCTTCGGAGCGGGGGAATCGGCGAAATGCTCGAGGAACCATTCGTGTGCATCCTCTTGCGTCATTCCGTCCTTGTGGGAGGTGGCAGACAGTGGTCTCTTCGGAGGAGTGAGCTTCTCTTTATGAGCGGTGGCTGACAAGGGTCTTCTTGGTGGCGGCTCCGTGTCTTTGTCCTTGTGGTGCGATGACTCCTTGAGCTTCGGGTGCTTGACTTGTTTCATCTCCACCTCACCCCCTGCCAAAGGCATCGGCTCGTCTTTCATAGGAGTACTAGGTGCTGGTGTTGGTGGCACGACACTTTCCCGCTTTTCCACTTTGACCTCGTCGATCATTTCGATTTTCTTCGGTGTATGTTCTTCAGCCTTTCCGTAAACATGGGCATGGGCGATAGCCCGGCCTGTCTGGCTTCCCGGAGGGCTCCGCTTCGTCATGCTGGTCGGAGTAGGAATGATTGGGCTGACAACTCTTTGGGTCGGGGTAGAAAGAGGGATGATCGGTGAAGAAACAGGCACTATCGGAGGCGGTATAGGCTGCTTGGAGGGAGGCAAAACACTTGGAGACAATGTCTTTTCATTCGGAGGGGAAGAAGCAACGGGGCTGGCGATTCGCTCTGATGACGATGGTTGGAGATGTCGGGCGATGTCCAAAGATGATGACAAGGATGATGTTGACGGCACTGTATCCCGCTGCAAGAGCCCTGATATCGAGCTGGATGTGCTTGCTTTCTCGTGACGTGGCTCGGAATGAGAGGTGAATGGTTTCTCCCGCAAAATGGTCTCAGTGTTCATGAGATCCCTACTTGAAACGGGACTAACGACCCTCTCCTCGCGTTCATTCGCATGCTGAACGATGCTTGAACCCTCCCGATCCTTAGCGACCACAGGACTAGGAAAACGCTCTCTGGTGATCACGGGGCTGGGGTGTCTCTCCCTCACAACTACGGGACTAGGAGGTCTCTCCCTTGCGACCGTGGGACTGAGAACCCTTTCCCCGGTAGAGGTAGGGCTGATCGTCCTCTCATGAAGCGAATCGAAGTGAGTGGCAATCGACAGTCGTTCTCTAGGTGCGACAATAGACTCCCTAGCGGACGAACGGCTCGGAATGTAGTCCTTAGCTACGAGAGGGCTTGGAATGCGTTCCCTAGCAGAAATGGAATTTGTAGCATGCTCTCTGAACAATATCGGGCTCGCATGGTGTTCCCTCAAGCTCGGAGCTCGTTCTCTGGTCGGAGCTCCGTCCCTGAGATATATCGGGCTTGTGACACGGTCCTGGATCGAGATAGGCGGGTAGGCAGGGACAGGCAGTTGCTCCCGGGAAGGAGCTGGGGTGATTGTCGGGGTATGGGTGGTGTGTTCACGGGTAATCTGGTCAGTGATGACATGTTCGCGGACATGTTCACGATTGCCGACATGTTCGCGAGGCAATGCAACGTGTTCACGGGGAGGCACGGTGACGACATTTTCACGAGGAGGTAAACCGGCGACAGTGATTGAATGCGATCTATCTCGGTGATGTGTGATAGATGGATGGGTGGAGATTGGTGGAATTTGCATCGGAAACGAGCGGCCACGCGGATCCCTGCTACGTGCCCGTCAGATGAATGTAATGCAAGGACCGATGAGACGCACCCTGGAATCATGTCCCTCTCTCTGTGAAGCTGCCCTGTTTCCCTCTCAAAAAGCGATTCCCTAAGAAGAGAATCCTGTGAGATGAGTGAAATAAGAAGTGATGGGACCGACCTCGGATCCCTTGACAAAACTGGCGACCTATGCAGCAAGTGTGAAGAGACAGGTTCATGATTGGATGAATGCGATGATAGTGAAGATAACGAGTCCCTATGTATTCGGGCGATGCCTTCTTGAGAAGATATGGAGTCTCGATGAGAATGGATAGAGTCGCGGTGGGAGGAAAATGAATCGCGGTGAGAGGACAAAGATTCCCTGTGTGTCGGGATCTGAGCCAGTGAATCCCTGTGCGATGGCTGAGACGACGAAATGACCTGCGGCGGATGAGAGCCTATGGAATCCCTACGAGCTCGATATTCCGTGTGAGACATTGTGTCCCTACTGAGGGCTTCCCTTTGGGCGACTTCCCTCTGTGAGTGGGACGATATCGGGATAGAGCCCATCGAGTCCCTCCGGGACCGCATGGTAACAGAGTCTGTGTGAGATGTCGAGTCTCGGGATGACTGAGACGGTATTGTGTCTCTATGGACCAACAAGTCTCTGGAATCTCTCGGTATGGGGATAGCCTCTCTGTGTGATAACGGGGGAATGGCAAAGGCATGGTGTTGCTGTTGGAACGTGGGCGGGCTGCGTAGGATGGATTCACGGGAGTGCAAGACTGAGGGACTGGTTACACGGTCCCTCGAGGAGAAAGACGGAGGGAAGACGGAGGGGCTGGTGACTCGCAAGGTGGGATCACGGACGGATGGTGGGAACGTCGGGGCAAACGATGATGAAGGGGGAAAGGAGTCGCGGGACGACGTCGGGCGCGATGAGCGGAGGGTTGGACTGGTGATGGTTG